TTGTTTAGGTTTTATGTCTGTCTTTGAATTTTGACTTTTAAAGTGATTTTATTCATTTTTAGTTTAGTCGAACTGATGATGGAGCTGGACTCCGAAACGTTTTCAATATCGATATGGTGAATTTTCTTGGCGTTTTCTTTGCTTTTAAATTCCTTGTGAACTTGCGATATAAGCAGACTAATGATATAAGTACTTATGTGAATCTTTATCGCTAGTCTTAAACTGAGCATTTACATCATCACCTCTTCTGAGAGTTAAGTGGTACTTGACTCTCCGAGTATAAACAATCACTTTGTCATAATTTTCACAGAATCCAAAAATATGTTTTAGGGGAATTGTAGCATTAAAATTACCATCAGTGGCTCTTAAATAATCGCTACGTTCATTGAATTCACCATTCGATTTTTCATTTTTCTTAGTGTCTATACACCGGAAGAACATCATATTTTCTTTGGAACTTCGTTGATAAGTTGTCAATCCTTTTAGAGTTGTGGCAATTCCAGGATAGCTATATCCCTCAGTTTCCTCATTTCCGATTCTATAAGATATTCGATCGAATAAATACATCAGACCATTATTGATAATTGATATTTTGTCATCTTTGAAGTTATAATTACTACTATAATCCACTTTCGTTAAAGCCCCTTCGACGTAAAGACAACTGTCTGATGGTAGTAGAAACTGATCTTGAGTCTGAATAATAATCTTAATATCATTGTGTTCACGATATAAATCAGTTCCAATTTGAGGATCATGATCATGAATTTCAAATTTATGAATTGTTTCATCGATTTGAGTAGTTTCATTTCACTGTAAGTTTTCGATTTTTATAACCTATATTTTATAAGGATAATTAAATTTTTTCAACCTTAAGTGCAATCGTACTGTTATTTCTTCACCTCTGGTATTCAAAAGATTTCTATTTGATCTGTTCCTAAATTATTAATTGATGGTTGATCTACGGTTAGATAAGTTGTTTGACCATGAGTTTGCTCAATTTTATATCCTTGGGGGGTTAGGAAAAAATGTATTAAAGATATTGTGTAAATCACCATTGAGATATGATCCATTGATTATACTGCAGTGAACATGTATTTCATTAACAGACATTATAATGTATATGTGCTTTCATGTTCTCCAACACCTTCCAATACTCCATTATCAAAGCCTAACAGAGGATGTAAACTGTTGGGTCCGTTGAAATTAATTTTCAAGTTAGGATCAAGAATAGTTACAACGCATTTCAGAGTATAGGCTTTCGCTCTTATATCAATCGAGGCCTCGTCTCCGTATGCATTTTTGATAAACTTATTGATACTCTCGACCTCACAGCATCCGATCGGTATAGTTATAGGCATTACTATACCATATTTCCCAACG